GAGAGAGAGAGAGAGAGAGAGAGAGAGAGAGAGAGAGAGAGAGAGAGAGAGAGAGAGAGAGAGAGAGAGAGTTGATTGATTGATTGATGGAGCAATTGCTTGATTAATTGATTGTAATTAATTGGTGGATGGAAAGATGGATCGGTGGATCAATGGATTCATGGATTGATGAATCCATGGATTGATGGATCAATCGGTGGATTGATGAAATGAAGGATGGATGGATGGATGGAGTGATGGCTGGATGGATTGATGGATGGAAGGACGAGATGGACAGACAGTGTGCATCATCCTTGTTATGAAGTCCGGACAGTGTCCGTACGGTGATGGTCATTTTTGCTTTTGCATTTTTTTTGGGGTTTGTTGGATTCCTGTCATGGTTGCATTTTCTGTGGAACTCGATGCCTTTTTATAAAAAATATAACGCAATGTATTGCATAAAATCGTTCGGTTTTGATCTCAAAGTGCATGATCTTATGCTTCCACGCGGAAGAGTTCAGCGTTGTGTCTCGCCCTTGTTCTCTTCTAACCCACTACGTAGTCATAAAGACATTTGCAGCATTTTGAGAATAGGAAAATCACTTCCTACACCTCGACCTCCAGGCCGCAGTCAGTAACACTTTCGTTAGCCACTTTGTCCAGGTACTTTGAATCTCCCCATTACTGCTTCAGTTCAGCCGCCCTCAGCGACTGCTTTCAGATGTTCCTATGTTTCGATCCTCAAGCCGTGGAGACTTTCCTTGGTCACTTGTTACTAAGTTTTTAGGTACCTTGAATCTTACCGTTAGTGCGTGGTTCGTCCGCCATTCGTGGCCTCTTTCGGAAAATAGCGACGCTCCAAAGCTACCACGTTTCCTGCATGAGGCAAACTAGTTTCTTCCTTTTTTACCTTATTGAGGAGTGCTGAACCACCATGCTTCATTACTTCTTGCCTCCCTTGGCAGTTGGATGACGCTATCTGTTGGCAGCTGGATGACGCTCTCTGTTCCCTGTTGCGGTCGTTCCAACTTTTACTTTCTATAAGTTGATGCTCGGTGCTCGTTATGCCCTTCGTCGTTTATTTTATTTTATTTTTTATTTTTATTTTGAAGGCTAATTCTTTAAGCCCAACCAATTCAATTACCTGTCGTCGTTTTCCGCATTCTGCTGCATGTGAGAGTTCTCTCATCCCAATCATTCGTCAGCAGCCCGTATACCACTTGTCAAGTTTCACTTTTTTACTTCTCTACCAGATATTTCTATTGGTTACTTACTACCGTCTTTCCCCGAACGTAATGCACCCTGATAATGAATGTATATAAGCTCGCTTTCCGGTCCCGTACAGCGATAATGAGGGCGCATTGTGTTCGGGGGAAGACAATTGGCTACTAGAGTCGCCCAGGCTCGACTACCTGTGGCACCCAGGCGAGTTGAAGAGTCCGGACAGTTCTTTTTTAACGCACCCTGATAATGAATGTATGTAAGCTATCTTTCCGGTCCCGTACAGCCATAATGAGGGCGCGTTGTGTTCGGGGGAAGACAATTGGCTACTAGAGTCGCCCAGGCTCGACTACCTGTGGCACCCAGGCGAGTTGAAGTGTCCGGAAAGTTCTTTTTTCCCTTTTCAAAAAATCGTCAGCGGGGCATTTCTGCACCCTCTGAGGTATGCCCAAAGGCGCCCTTACCTTTGAATTTGGTGGTGTCTCACTCTAAGGGGGTCTGGAGGGTATGAACAGTGTTTACATGGGGTTTAAGCTTAAAATGGCCCCAAAGGGTTCTACGGTTCTACTTCTACCATATATATATTTTTTATTTTCATTTCACTCTAATCACAGTAGGCCAGGCTCGACTACCTGGGGCACCCACGCAGATAGTCCTTTTTTTCCTTTTTCCAAAAATCATCGGTGGTGGCGCATTTCTGCGGCCTCCGAGGCATGCTCAAATGCGCCCTTACCTTCTGATTTGGTGGTCTCATCCTAAGGGGGTCTGGATGGTATGAACAGTGTTTACATGGGGTTTAACCTTTAAATGGCCTCACAGGGTTCTACCATAATTTATTGTTTTTTTTTGGATGTATTTTCTATTTTTTCACTCTAATAAGGAACTTCAAAGTGACTGGTCTAGCTCAGTTGGTTAGGCATTCGAGTGGCATTCAGGAGGTCGTGGGTTCAGTCCCCACTGTCCACCCGGGGCACGCTTGGCGCCAAGCAACTGAGATACTTGGCTTGCTCCCCTGGTTGGTATTGGTAAGGTCTTTGGCCATCACAGGGGTTTGTGTGTTTGTGTGTGTGTGTGTGTGTTTGTGTGTGTGTGTGTGTGTGTGTGTGTGTGTGTGTGTGTGTGTGTTTGTGTGTGTGTGTGTGTGTGTGTGTGTTGTGTGGGAGACTGCTGGCCCTAGACACTGCTGTTACTTGATGAGGGCGGGGGAAGTAGATGGGAGGTGCAGCTACTGGCAAAATGCTCGGTCTTTGGGTTAGATGCCCCACCCTACTGGCTGACTACTGCTGATTAGGACGGGGGAGCAACATGCATCCCTGTGATTGTGAGAGGTAGTTATGCTTGCAGGGGCCCCCTTTATAGGCTTTTGGAGTAGCGGTAGGTAGGTAGTGAAGGTGAATTTGAGAGAAGAATGTAGTGTAGTTAAACCACCAGCGAGTTTCCCAGGCTTTTTCTCCCGACGCGGCATGTGTGCAGCTGCAAGTTTCGGGGGTCGGCCTACCAGGGCAAAATGGCTGGCGGCACCAGCCAAGAGAAGGGCCGCACCGATTCATTTTCTTTTTGGTGGGCACTGGGCAGGGGGTTTTCAGCCTTGGCAAGGGAAGGGTCAAAAGCACTGGTGGTTTAATTAAAAAAAAAGTGACCCTCCACTAAAAAGTTGTGTGATTTGCAATTCTACACATCACTTCCTGCTTTTTTTTTTTTTTTTCCCTTCCATAAAACAGGTCCTTATGGCCCTGGCTCCATTTCCATTCCGGGGAGCATCAGTCCGGTTCCTATTCCATCGGCAAGTCAGAATAAAATCTTACATCATGAAACACACTCACACTTCCTTCCGTCCGGCCGAAGGAACCCTGACCAGCATTGATTACTCCAGCATTGTGGAGGATTGACTGTCAGCTTGCCTTACTTCCACCTTTCCTCTCAGGTCGACTGCATGAACCTGTCAGATAAATGATAAAGAGCAAGAAAGGTAAAAGAAGCTACGGAAGATGCAATCTCGGAATTTGCCCTTCAATATTACGTGGGCTGTGATGGATCTTGTCCTTCTTCTGGCTGGGATCTCTGCCTTCTCCACCCTGCTTCTGAGTTGTGCCAGTCTTTCCACCGTACGCGAAAGTCATTTATCTCCGCCACTTTGCCCCTTGCAAGCCACACCTTAGTGAATTTTGCATTGATTCTTTTCTCTGTTGTTCTTCGTCATCTGGCATGGACTGTCTTGTCTTATGCCACTTACAAAGAATCTCCGCCTGAATCAAGGTCCTTCCTTATCTCCGCCCATACCTTCTCCCTTGGAGTTGAGATTCCCTCGATGGTTCCCTTCGGCAGCACCTTTCCTTCCAGATGGACCACAGCGTTACCTTTCTGATCAATTCCCGAACCACGTTTTTTACTATGTCTTGTGGAATTGAGCTGGGATGTGTTAGTCCATAGAAGGAGGAGTTGGATGGGGTGTTCAGGGAGGGGGAGTCGAGAAGACGGAGTCCCAGAGGTCCGAGGCCCTCGCCCAATATTCCGTCGGCTCTCTACAGCGTATCAGGCAACGTAGCATATCTTCTGGTTCATTTTCTGAACATGCCGCGCATAAATATGAACTGTTAGGGTCATTCTTATTGCTTCTGATATGCAGCCACTGGTTAACCGGTAGAGCCGCGTATGAGATGAGCCATTGGAGGCTTCTTGTGATTTTGACCGGACGAATTGACTTGACCTGCTTTTTTATCTGAATTTTTGAATTTGAAAATTTTGTGCTGGGGTCTCAGGACCTTGGCTGGGACGTTGATTGGACCGGCCCCGTTTGTGCCACCATGGCAATCTGAGGCAGCATGTGCAGCCCGAATGGGAGCGCAGATTGGTTATCGATTTTTGTGAAATGTTGCCGTTGAATTGTCGGTATTGATTTGATTGTTCTCCTTGTTTGTATGCGGCAGGAGGGACGATCTCACAAGCGAGCGGGGTTCTTGGATAGACATCTGCGAGAAATTCGCCGTGCGCGGAAATCGCCAAATTGCGCATTTCAGTATGGTAGGCGCCGAGCTTTGCTGTCCTTGTTGTTGTCAAATAAAACACTCTGCATGTTAGCAGTGCAATAATAATATGCCCATATCAAACACTGAGAGAAAAGATGGAAAATGAGAATATAGTGGACTTGGTTGTACAAAGCAAAAAATGTGATAGTGGCGACTTCTCCCCTGTAGTTATTTCGCCATCAGACTATTAGGCTGTTTCTTGAGGCATGGAGCATATCAGGGTATCAGGCTATCAGGTTGGCAGGCAATATGGCTATATGTGGCTATCGGGCTATTTCCTGTCGCTGTCAGGCTGTTTGGGCATCAGACTATCAGGCTGTTTTTGGGCTATGCAGCTATCAGGGTATCAGGCTATTTCCTGAGGAGGGCCTCGGCCAAGATGTACGGATCCATAACTACTGAGAAGGCTCCCGTGAACCCGCGGGCAGCACAGCGTAAGTCCCCGCCTGTGGTGAGGGGGCAAATGTACCAGTTGGGGTCACGTATTGATTGGAGCGAAGTGTGCGAGAATTGCTGCGTCCGTGTGGTGTTGTGTGTGGTGTGTGTTGAGTTGGACACTACAGCCTTGCAGGGGTGGGGTGGATATCACAACTGTATGGTTCCACTTTCGAACACCGTGTCCTGGCTGTAGTGGTTAAGAGACTTGGCTCTTGAGGCCGAGGTCGTCGGTTCGAATCCGTGCTTGCACGGAGGAGGGCTCAGGCCCAGATGTACACATCCATAACTACTAACAACTACCGTCTTCACCCGAATAGAACACCCGGTCATTATAGCTGTATTTAGGGCAACTTCAAGTCTAGATCCTGTGATAATGACTGGGCGTTCTATTCAGGTGAAGACCGTAGTATTTCCTGAGGCCCAGTTTGCTACTTTTCGCTTTGTACTTATCCTGAGGTATGGTGTATATCATATGCGGTATGTACTTTTCTCCTTCATTTCTTGCTCTTGTTATGCGTACTGCTTGCTTCCGTGGTCTGTCTGTTCATGTCTCTTTTTGGGCTTTCTGTTCCAAGCCAGTCTCCCTTTGACATTTCGACCAAATGCCATCGCAATTGTGTGCTGAGGACAAGTCCGATCACTCTCATCTCAGCGTATGCTGATCGACGGTTGTCCTTTACTCTGCAAGGTCAGCTTGGTGTTGTCTTGGCAGTTCACCTCATGGGGACGTTTATTGGGTCCGTCGAGTCGATCAAGTCGTCAGTTTTGGTTTTCCGACGATTCCTCGCTGGAGCGGTGGTTGCGAATGCATTGGTTTCTGACTATTATTTGACGTTCTTCTGGTGGCTGTGGTTTGTGTTTTGCAGGGAATTTCACCATCGAGATGTCAGATATTCCCCCATCACTTGCTCTCAATCTTTTTCAGGATGGTTTTACAATCAGCTTGCCCACCGAGGTAGGTACGACTGCACACACCTGAAGCTGCCTCAGACTTCTCTGCTTTTCCTGCTTGTCTTCTTCCGAGTGTTCTCCACGTCTATCGCTTCCTTCTTCGTCCTCCTCCAATACTTCCCAGCTGCCGCTGCTCCAGCCCCTCTTTCTAACACTTCCTCCTCCCTTGCCTTCTACTATCCCTCAATTTTCCTGGTGTGGGTTCTTCTTTTGCGCCCTGATTTGCTTGTCTCATTATGAGTAGGCTGGTACCAGAGCCAACCTGTGAACTCCTGTCCTCAACCCCCTCTCCCCCCCACTACTACCACCACCACCTGTCTTCTCCTGGTCTGGGTTCTTCTTGTGTTCCCTGATTTGCTTGTCTCATTATGCGTAGGCTGGTACCTGAACCAACCTGTGGACTCATCTCATCAACCCCCCCATCTGTCCCCCCCCTCCCCAGGGGTGGCCTGCAGCATTAGTGAATACATCAGGACTTGAACTGATCTGTTTGTGAACAGCCGCACGTGTGTAACATTCAGCCACAGCAGAGGGACAGCAACTCTTCTTCGCCTTCCTCGTTGTCTTCTTCGTCTTAGGGTGTAGGCACACTAGCTCTATCTTAAATGTATCTGACCGCATTTATGACCCGGACCTGGATGCATCTGATGATCTCAATTGCGTCCATACGTGTGAGTATGCCCTTAGTTGTTGTCTTTCTCGTCTTGGTTGTTGGGACTATGGCTGAGCCAGCATCGACACATGATGTACACCAATGTTTAACAGTGTTGAAATAGCACAGCTCGTGGAGGCTGCTGAAGGAGGTGCCTACTGTGCTTGCCTAACCAGGATGGGGTGGGCGGACGTATAGACAGGTAGGGTCAGGGGAGGTTATGAAATCAGTCTTGCAAATTCACACTCAAACATGCATGCAACAGATGAGAATAACTTGGCGCTGTGCACCCAACTCAAACTCGGAGATATGGTAGCTTGCAACTCAACTCAAATCCAAGTTCACTTCAGTTGGCTATGGCGCTGGGCGCCCTCACTTACACGTTCGACTCAGAGTTCACACGCAACTCGACTCCGGATCACCCTGGG